GCTCCAAGCTTTGTCTTCATCCTGATGGAGACACAGGAGGTGGTTTGGATGATCGCGCCAAGCTTTGTCTTCATCCTGATGAAGACACAGGAGGTGGTTTGGATGCTCTCCAACCTGTGTCTCATCCTGATGGGGATGCAGTGGGTGGTTTGAAAGATCTCTCCAACCTTTGTCCTTATCCTGGTGGGGACAAGAGTGGTTTGGATGCTCTCAAGTCTTTGTCCTCATCCCAATGAGGATATCTCCATACAATCCTTGGGTGATTCATGCAAAACTCAGCTGCATCCCTCCTCCCACCACAGCTGGGGGCACTTAGTTGGGTTTTCAGGATAGAACCTTCCAACCGAGGACCTTGAGGAGGTCCCAGAGCCCCACGCTCAGATCTGCCCTGTCCCACGGCCACAGACAAACCGATGCAGCTGAACCAGGCGCTCTTCATGCTCGGTGGCCGCAGCGGCTACGTCCTACAGCCAGACATCATGAGAGACGAGACCTTTGACCCCTTCGACAAGAACAGCCTGAAGATTGTGGAGCCCATCACAGTCCAGCTGCAGGCAAGTGTGCAAGGGCAGCAAGACCACCTTGAGGTGGTCACCACCAAGATGGGAACTCCTTCCTTATTTTCGGGTCAGCCAGGGGTGGTTTTTACTTCTTCCAGCTACGTATTTGTTCCATGGAGCTTGTTACTCTTGGGAGGTGTCATGGTCTTCTTCATCCAGTGTGGCCAGACCTCACCATCTTCTTCTTCCCTTTACTCCCACAGATCCTCGGTGCCCGGCACCTGCCCAAGAACGGGAGGAGCATCGTGTGCCCCTTCGTGGAGGTGGAGGTTTGCGGCTCCGAGTATGACAACAGCAAGAACAAGACGGATGTCGTAGGTGAGAGACCACACGGGTGATGTCCCCACCCTTAGGGACTCTGCCCTTTGTAGTCCTCTTGAGAGGACACGTGGGTGATGGGGCTGGGTTTTGTGCTCTCTCCCACAGCTGACAATGGCTTCAACCCCGTCTGGCTCTTCAAGCAGTTCGTCTTCGACATCAACAACCCCGAGTTTGCCTTCCTCCGCTTCGTGGTGTATGAGGAGGACATGTTCAGTGACCCCAACTTCTTGGCACAAGCCACCTTCCCTGTCAAGGGCCTCAAAACAGGTATGGTCTTTCCATCATCATCATCGTCATCTCCATCATAGTCATGGAATCACAGAAGGGTTTGGGTTGGATGGGGCTTTTAAAAGTCATCTTGTCCAACCCCCCAGCAATCATCATTATCTTCATCATTATCATCATCATGATGTCCATGATTAAGTCACAGAGTCATGAAAGGGGTTTGGGTTGGAAGGGACCTTTAAAGGTCTTCTAGTGCAACCCTCCTGCAATTGTCATCATTGTAATCTTCATCACTGAGTCATGGAATCATGGAAGGGTTTGGGTTGGAAGGGGTTTTTAAAGGTCATCCAGTCCAAATCCTCTTCAACCATCATCTTCATCATCTCCATCATAGATCATGGAATCATAGAAGGGCTTGAGTTGGAAAGGGCTTTTAAAGGTCATCCAGTCCAAATCCTCTTCAACCATCATCTTCATCATCTCCGTCATAGATCTTGGAATCACAGAAGGGTTTGGGTTGGAAAGGACCTTTAAAAGTCATTGAGTCCAACTCCCCTGCATTGTCATCACCACCATCATGACCTCCATCATTAAGTCATGGACTCATAGAAGGGTTTGGGTTGGAAGGGACCTCTAAAGGTCTTTTAGTGCAAACCCCTGCAATCATCATCATCATCATCATCTCCCTGGGGTCCTGGCCTTGGTGAGGGGCTCGGACCCTGCTGCGGTGCTGAGCTCGTGTTGTGATGTTGTGTCCAGGCTACCGGTCGGTGCCTTTGAAGAACAGCTACACTGAGGACCTGGAGCTCGCCTCCCTCCTCATCCACATCGAAATCATCAATGCCAAGGCAGGTGGCCCAGGCAGCTTGGGAAACCTGGAACAAGGGGAACCAACTCTGTGGGGTGTCCTGCTCACCACACCAGCCTCATACGCTTGTTTTGGAGCAGGAGGAAGATGAGGAGAACCTCTACTCATCCATCCAGCAGCTCCGGGACCGTGCCAGCGAGCTCTCCAGCCAGGTCTCCAGCTACGAGCGCACCAACGGCTGCGATTCCCGCTACCAGCAGCGCCTGGACGAGCTCCGGGCGGCCCAGGAGCGGCTCATGGAGCTCACTGAAGTCCGCAACCGCAAGTGAGTTGTCCCCTCCCTGTGGCTTCGGGAGGTGGCTCTTGGGGGAGGGTCCCTAAGGCCACCACCCTGCTCTCCACCAGGTTGATGGAGAAGAAGAAGAGGGACCGGCAGATGGTCACCAAGCGCAGCTGAGCTGGAGGGACTCGAGCTGAGGAGCTCCCCCAGCCGCCTCCTCTCCTGCCACAAAGGGAGGTGGGGTGGCCACATCCGGACCTCCCACCACGCCCAAGGCTGGGTGACAGCAGTGTGACAAATCCAGGGACGAACGGGGACCTTGGGTGTCTGTGCCTGTGACAGGGGTGAGGTGGGAGGTGGGACACTCTGACTTTAATCCCAGGTGCCTCCAGCTTCATCCCATTTCCCTGGGGCTCGTGGCCGCATCCTTGTCCCCACGAGGTGGCCGCAGTGGCTCTTCCTCACCCAACATTCTCAATGTCCCATCATCCCATGGCAACCTCATGACCGATGGGGAAACTGAGGCACAGGGGCCCAGCTGGCCCAGGATGGGGCAGGACCAGCCACCTCCATCCTGGGCACAGGTGTCAGGACTGGCTGGTGGTGAGGCACCAGGATGGGGACACAGGGGACACTTTTGGGGGGTTTAGGGGAGCGTTTTGCTCCCCCGCTATAAATACCTGTATTTTCTTCTTTTATCCAGCGTGTACATAAGGCGTGGGGGGAGGGAGTGTCTGTACCAGCCACAGTATTAGGGCACAAGGGGGACCCCAAAATGTCCAGACATGTCCCAGCATGGGACCAAGGGGGCAGGGGACCAAGTCTGGGGCTGTCCCACAAGGCGGAGAAGCCTGTGCCAGGGTGCCCTGAGTAGGCACCAGATAAACACAGGCAGCAGGGTGGCCCCAGAGGGGACAGGGATGTCCCCAAGGTGACCCAGAGTTGTCACCAAACTCTGGGAATAGGGACAGATCCTGCCAGTAAAGCCAACTGAGGTGGTGGCCAGCCCAGGGGTGGCTGGGGACATCTTGGGGTGTCCCCCAGGGTCAGGGTGTCCCAGCAGGGGGGACCTGTGTATTCTTTGTATGAAAATAAATCTATTTAGCCAATATTTATACCCCGCTGCTGTGACCTGGTGTCCCCTCCCTGCTGTGCTGCCACCTCCATGTCCCCAGGGTGGGTGATGTCCCCCGGGGAGGTGGCTTGGGAGTCCCAGATCCAGGGTGTCACCCTTGTCCCAGCAGCTGTGGGGACACTTGGGGGTGTGCAGGGCCACCCAGGAAGGACACAAGGCAGAGGGACACACGGACAACGGGTGCAAGGTTGTGGGGACACAGGGCCATGGGGACACCCAGCTATGGGGATGCGGGATCACAGGGCCATGCCATGGGGACACACATGGGTCCATAGGGACATGGGCCCATGGGGACACAAATTCATGGATCCATAGGGATTTAGGTCCATGGGAAGACACACGTGGATCCAGAGGGACATAAGGACATGGGGACACACATGGATCCATAGAGACACAAGGACTTGGGTCCATGGGGACACACACGGACATGGATCCATAAGGATTTGGGACCATGGAGATACATGGATCTATAAGGATACAGGGACATGGGCTCATGGAAACACATGTGAATCCATTGGGATTTGGGTCCATTAGTACGCAAGCAAATCCATAGGGATTTGGGTCCATGGGGGCACAAATTCACAGATCCATAGGGCTTTGGGACCATGGAAACACATGTGAATTCCAAGGGAATTGGGTTCATGGAAATCCATGTGAACCCAATACAATTTGGGTCCATTATGATACACACTAATCCATAGGGATTTGGGTCCATGGGATCCACAGGGCTTTTGGATCGTAGAAACACATGCAAATTCCAAGAGATTTGGGACATTAGAAACACATGTGAACCCACTAGAATTTGGGTCCGTTATGATACAACTTATCCATAGGGATTTGGGTCCATGGGGACACAAATTCATGGATCCATAGGGTTTAGGTCCATGGAAACACACGTGAATCCAGTGGGATTTGGGTCCATGGGGACACACCCCAGATACACGGAGACTTAAGTCCACGGGGACACACACTCCAGGATCCATGTGGCTTTGGGACCATGGAAACACATGTGAATTCCAAGGGATTTGGGTTCATGGAAACCCATGTGAATCCACTGGGATTTGGGTCCATGGGGACACACACCCAGGATACACAGGGACTTGGGTCCATGGGGATGCAGATTCAGGGATCCACAGGGCTTTGGGACCATGGAAACACACGCGAATTCCAAGGGATTTGGGTCCATGGAATCACATGGGAATCCAGTGGGATTTGGGTCCATGTGGACACACGCCCTGGATCCATAAGGCTTTGGGACCATGGAAACACCCGCAAATTCCAGGGGATTTGGGTTCATGGAATCACAGTGAACCCACTGGAATTTAGGTCCATTATGGTACACACTAATCCATAGGGATTTGGGTCCATGGGGACACACACCCCGGATACACAGGGACTTGGGTCCATGGGGATGCAGATTCAGGGATCCACAGGGCTTTGGGACCATGGAAACACCCGCGAATTCCAAGGGATTTGGGTCCATGGAATCGCCCCTCACGCATTTCCCGCCTTCCCCCCAGCCCGGCTGAGAGGGGGCGTGGCGTCTTCTTAGCCACGCCCACTTTTCCTCCTTGTAATCCCGCCCCTTCTCTCCTATTGGTCCTCCTCCTCTCCCCGCCGCTCCCTATTGGCTGGCGGGCCGCGCGCGCGCTCGGACGCGGAAGTGGCGGGGCCGGAGCGGCGGCGCAGACGGTGAGGGGAGAGGGGAGGGGTCGAGCCCTGGGAGCGGGGATTTATTCCCATAAACCGGGAAAAAAATGGGAATATTCTGGTTTAAACACCCGGGTTACGCTTGGGTTTGGTGAGGGAAAGGGTTTATTGCTGTGTTTCCGCGAGGGGGAATGGTTTGTTTGGCGGTGTTGGTGAGGAACGTTAGTTTATTCTTGTTTATTTTTGTGAGGAGAGTTATTTGTTCTTGGGGTTTGGCGAATGAAATTGTTCGTTCTCTGTTTGTTTTTAATGAGAAAAAGGGTCTATTCCGGCGTTTTGATGAGGAAAAGAAAATAGTTTTGTTTTTTTAAAAAATGAGGAACATGATTTATTCGTAGTTTTGGATGAGGAAGGTGGCTTATTTTTGCGTTTTTCTTGAGAAAAAAAAATTGCATTTTTGGCTTTTAAGGAAGAAAATTGTTTATTTGTGGGTTTTTTTCGCGGAAAATTATTTATTCTTGTAGGATCCTGATGAAGAAAATTGTTTATTCTTGGGGTTTGATAAATAAAATTGTTTATTCTTGCTTTTTGATGAGGAAAATTGTTTAGTCTTGCAGGTTTTGTGATAAAAATGTGTTTATGTGTTCCTTGTTATGAGGAAAATTGTTTATTTATGTGGTTTTGATGAGGGAAGTGGTTTGTTCTGGAGCTTTCATGAGGAAAATGGCCTTGATGAGGAATGTCTGTTCTTGGTTATTTTTATGGGAAAATTTATTCTTGGGATTTTGGTTAATTAAGTAGTTTATTATTGGGAATTTCATGAGAAAAAAAAAATCAATTTATTTTGGGTTTTTAGTGAGGAAAATGGTTTTTTAAAATTTGTTTTTTATTCACCCTTTCTTCATGTTGAAACAAAAATTTTGGATCCTGATTTTCTGTCAAAGGAGATAGAGGAGGATAAAAAGTGGAATTCAATGACTGGATTTTAATGATTGCTGGAATTTAAATATAGAATGTCACCAGTGGAATTTAGCTGGAATTCCACCAGTCAGATTAACCTACTGGAATTTTAACAACAGGAATTTTCACTTGTCAGAATTGAAGTAAAAATGAGCATTAAAATATATTCCCGCTTCCAAACACTTGCATTTCTTTTAACATGAATTATATAATAAATAAATATTTGCTAGGAACGCTGGAGATCTTTGCTACCTCAGTGGGTGAGTTGCATCTTTTTAATGAATATTCAAAATATTAATGAATATTCATGAGCTGTAGCGACTCCAGAGGAGCGGGAATCCCTTTTCCAAGGAATTTTAAAAGGCAGGATTGATCCTTTGCCTCGCTTCCGTGAGTAAAGAAGGAAAATGTGGGATTTAATGAGGCTGGACAGTGTCAGAACAGGTTGGACCAGCTGGAGCAGCCTCTCCATCCCTGGAATTATTCC